GATGGCGCCGTGACACCGCGGCGGCTGCGGCCTGGACGGGACGCGCGGCGCGGGCGCTGAGCCTCGCTTCTCCCCCTAGGTGTCTTTTATGAATAATCAAAAGCAGCAGAAGCCGACGCTATCGGGCCAGCGTTTTAAGACCAGAAAAAGAGGTGCGTGCGAGTCCGTGCGCGCCGCCCCGCGCTCGCCGCGCCGTCCGGCTCCGCGTCGCCAGAGCGGGGTATCTCGGGGCAGGCTGTTGGGCGCTCTTCCTGGAGTAGTAAGGTGCCTTTATAGAGCCGTGTTTCCTGGCCGGCAGTTTTCATGCAGGCGGACCTGCTTGAGCAAAGAGATTAGTTTACTTTAAAGAGGGAGGTTCTAGCCAGACGTGGGGGCGCACCCCTACTCCCAGCACTCGGGAGGCTGAGGCAGGAGGATCGTTGTGAGTTTGAGGCCAGCCTGAACTGCAGAGCGAGACTCTGTCTCAAAAAAGAAAAACTTCTAATGTCACTAATTTCGCCCAACTTTTGCCAGCAGGTGTGCTGGAGAGGCTGGTGGTGTGGTGGGATGGTATAGCTTTTACCTCACTTGGATGAGGCCCCGTGGGGACACTCCTCAGTGCTTGTGGAAGTTACTGTGGAATGGGATTCACATCGTAATGTCTCTTAAAATATTTGTCACACGTGTAGGAAGAAAAATATTCTCAGGGCTGTGGATGTAGCTCAGTGGCGGAGTGCTTGCCTGGTGTGTCTGAGGTCCTCTGTTCAACCCAGTACCATAAAAAGAAACAGTTATTGTAACCATTTTTTATGTTAATGGGTGCTTAAGTAAATTTTTTCACCTCATTTTTGTACTCGTTATTAGTATATATTTGTGATGCGCTACTATTCAGTGTTAGAAAGGTCTTCTGCTAGTTAGTACAGAGCTAAGATGTGGTCTCGGAAGTATTTGGTATTAAGCTTAGTGTTTTCCCAAAACATTTTTAAATGTCACTGTTTGAGTTTAATTTTATTTTATTGGTACCAGGAGTTGAACTCAGGACCTTGTCCTTGCCAGGCAGGCGCTGTACCACTGAGCTGTCTCCATAGCCCTACATGGTACTTTCAAAGCACATATTAACCTCACATGGCAAGATTTGAGGAAGTGCTGGGCGTGGTGGCGCACGCCTGTAATCCCAGCACTTGGGAGGCTGAGGCAAGAGGGTCATTGGTGAGTTCAAGGCCAGCCTGAACTGCATAGCAAGACCCTCTCTCAAAAAGCCAAAAAAAAAAAAAAGAAAGATTTGAGGAAGTGAAAACTGGGTCCGCTTTTTTTTTTTGGTCTTTTTGAGACAGGATCTCACTATGCAGTTCAGGCTGGCCTTGAGCTCAGTTTTGTTTGGTTGGTTGGTTGTTGTTGTTACTGTTTTGGTACTGGAAATCGAACTCAAGATTTTCACTTGGCAGGCAGGCACTTATGCCGCTGAGCTATATCCCCGTCCCCTTGAACTCACTTTGTAGCCCAGGCTGGTCTCCAGACTGGCCACGATCCTCCTGCCTCAGCCTCCCTAGTGCTGGGATTACAGGGGTGTGCTACCACACCTGACATAAATTAATGCCTTTAGTGACACTTTGAGATGCATATTACAGAATCTTTTACCATCTCTCTCCAAACAGAGGAGGTGTAAACTACAGCATTTCGGCAATAGTGAAGTCAGTGTCAGCATGTATGTGGATTGCTGGTGTCTCGTTTCTATACATTGTGATAGGTATTCTTACTGCAGTATCAGGCAGGGAAAGATCACTCGGCCTCCTGCTGTGGAGGAGGAAGAGCCTGGTTAGGGTGAACAGCCCCATTTCCCCAGGGCCAAGAGAATTTCCAAAACCACAGGATACTTCCCACTAAAACCAGGAACTTCTTGAACAAAGGGAAGAGCTTGTCACCCCTTGCTGTGTGAAAATTGAAATGTCATCTAACCCTGGTGCAGGGCTGGGGTGAGGCACAGAGGTAGACCCCTTGCCTGGCGTGTGAGAGTCCCCAGGCGGTCCCCGGTGTGTGCTGTCTGTTCTGCATGACTCCACACCCGCAGCTCTCTGTGGGAATGGCAGTGTTCTTAGTTTCATTTCATATGCAACTGGCATGAGGAATGAGGCTGGTTGCTGAATTTAAAAGGTTAAGTGGTGGTCAGATTGCAGTTAGGCAGGTTATCTCCAGAGCTCAGGCTCTGCATCCCTAACCAGTATCATCTCTTGATTACCTACTTTTTCTGACTCAGTTTTCTTCTGAATTATGGAAACAAAAAAATCCACCTCTTGAGGTTAAGTAATGTGTCTAGTACTATTTTTAGCAGGTGCACATTGAGTAGTTAGTAACAGACTTTCCCAGGATCCTTTCAGTAAGCACAGTAAGTCCCCGATCTGCGAACATCATTTGGGGACTTCCACAGGTGTACTATATAAGGCTCACTTTGTCGGACTTATGAACAAATCTGACTTACGTTCTGGAATGGAACTCATTCATAAGTTGGGGACTTACTGTACCAAATGAGTGGTCATATGAAAGTTTCGTGTGTTGGACAGGCATGGTGGTGCATACCTGTAACCCCAGCACTCTTTGGGAGGCTGAGGCAGGAGGATCATTGCGAGTTGGAGACCAGCCTGGGCTACAAAGTGAGCTCAAGGCCAGCTTGAACTGCACAGGGGGACCCTGTCTCAGAAAGAGGGAAAAAAAATTTTTTTTTCTAAAGAAGACCAAGAAGGCAAGGATATAGCTCAGTGGCACAAGTGCCCTGAGTTCAATTCCCAGTACAAACCAAACAAAACAAAAAAACCAAGAGCTCTGCTGTCAGAGCAAAATTTCAGAGGAATAAATCAGAACACTAGAACATTTTACCTCCCTTAAGAGACATGTTTGGAAAAGTAGAAGAGCCACACAGTTCCTGTGACTAGGCCATCAGGCCTTGTATATGCATAACTTCGAGAAGGAATGGTTAGTCTTTTGTCGTGGTTTTTTCTTTATTGCAAGTTTAATCCATGTAGTTTGTGTTCATATTTGTCAAATACTGAAAAATAATTGTGAAGAATTTAGATGGGAGGGAAGAAGGGGTTGAAGGGAGGATAGGGGAATGGGAGAAAAAAAAATCAAGTTACACCATGTACACGTGCAAATTCTCTGATGAATGTGATCGTTCTGTATATCTAAAGTGTACCAATAAAAATCATAAATAAAAAGTAACTTAGTAAACTTATTAACAGCTTCGTAAGGTAACAGTTCATGGCGTTTGGTTAGTCTTGGAGACTAAATGTTTTGGGTTTTTCCCCCCCAGATGAAAAAGAGAGATTTGACCCTACTCAGTTTCAAGACTGTATTATTCAAGGCTTAACTGAAACTGGTACTGATTTGGAAGCGGTAGCTAAGTTTCTTGATGCTTCTGGAGCAAAGCTTGACTACCGCCGATATGCAGAAACACTCTTTGACATCCTGGTGGCTGGTGGAATGCTGGGTAAGTAGTTTGGTGGGCATAATTTAAGGAAGTGTGAATCGAGAATATAAGCTACTGGACAGACCTACCAGCAGGGTGCCTTTGGATTGTGTTCACTTTCTTCCTAGGGCAGGGGCCTCTTCTGTTCTTTCCCTCCCGGGTCAGGTTAGGTCACCAGGCAGCCCTACCCTCTCAAGCCCTGTGTTTGAACAGAGCCATCACCCTTGGAGATAACTTTTCTTCTCTGATACCTAAGTTCTACAGCATCCTCAGTTGATGATTTTCAAATCCCTGTCACCAAAAACAAAACTTTTTAAAAGATGTAAGGAATACAGTAACTATTCAGAATGTTTTCAGAGTATTATTATTGTATTTATACTCAGAGCCAAGCGATAAGGAAATCAGATACCATTTGTGTACATGCAGAATGGAAGCTTAGGAAACTTAGGAGGCTGAGTCAGGAGGGTTGCAAGTATGAAACCAACCTGGGCAACTTAGCAAGACCCTGTTGCCAAAGCCTGGCGTGGTGGCGCACATCTGTAATCCCAGCACTTGGAAGGCTGAGGCAGGAGGATCGTTGCAAGGTCAAGAGCAGCCTGAGCTACAAAGTGAGCTCGAGGCCAGCCTTAACTGCATAGTGGGACCCTATCTCAAGAAGACTTAAGAAAAGAGAAGAAAAGAAATGTGAAATATTCTTATTGCTATTCATAGTGCTGCTATGTGCAAGATTACATTACTCTCCTTTCCCTTTTTGAGACAAGATCTTGCTCTGTCGGCCTGGGGGCCCTTGACCACACGTACACCTGCCTCAGCCTCCCAGTTGATGTCACGAGCCTGTGCCACCAGGCCTGGCTAAAAAAACTCCTAAGAAGTACTTACTAAGGGAAATTTCAGACACATCTTAAAGGTCTGATGCTGTCCAGCTTTAGTTACTGACAGCGCAGCCCCGCCTCATCTGCACCACACAGATTTCATCCCCTCGTTGACTTGCTAGTGTAAAGTCTCCAGCCCGTGGCCTTTGCAGCGTGCACCCCTGGAAGCGCGGGAGGAAGTCTCAGGTCAGAGCCTGCACCGGACGCATCGCCTGCTGTGCTCTGTGGGCGCTCTGCGTCTGGTGGGCTCTCCAGGCGCCTGCAGGATTGCTGCCCGTAGTCCTGCATAGCGATCCAGCCAGCCAGGTCCTGCTGTCTGGTGTTGCTTTCACTCACGTTAACTTCATTCGTGGTTACATGGAAGGGGAGGTTGAAGTGACAGTGGGTCCACGTGGCAGTGACGCGTGTTTCCGTGAACACCCTCAGCCCCCGGTGGCACCCTGGCCGACGACATGATGCGCACAGACGTCTGCGTGTTCGCAGCACAGGAAGACCTGGAGACCATGCAGGCGTTTGCGCAGGTGAGTGGTCAGCAGCCGAGGCCTTTCCGCTTAGCCCCAGCTGCTGGCTGATGCTCTGCCTTGGTCACGGAGATTTCAGTCAGGGAAATTCACTTTAAGTTTAGGGAGTCTTATCCTTGGTGCAGTATGGCAAGTTAGAGATGTTACGTATGTTAGAGTCAGACAGAAAAAATGGTTAGCTCTTTATGTTTCTGGAATTGATGCATTTTTAAGAAAAATGTTAGCCTGAGGAGGCAACAGTTTCCCATTGTGATTTCCATAATTGAACTGTTCTACATGTAGCTGGTTGTTGTTTTTTGTTGTTTTTTTTTTTTTTTTTTTTTTTAAGATAAATGAGTTCTAGGTAGATTAGCTTCTTAAGACGTCCTTTGAAGATGTCATGCATAGATATATTTTTATTACTAAAAGCAAAGCATTTAAACGCATCTAACCTGGAAATTACCCACAGCATTAGGAAATGGGGAACACTGTTGTCTTACCATGTTCTGCAGACTGGTAAATGACTTGTTTTTGAGCAGTAATTAGTCCTCCAGTGTGCAGCATGCACACCTGTTGAGAGCGGCCCTGGCAGCATTCCTGTGAGGGGTATGCTGTAGGGGAGGAGGTGACAGAAAGTGTGACCTATTCTGTCCAGTGTGAGGCTCACTTTGCTGTTCTTTGTAGGTTTTTAACAAGTTAATCCGGCGCTACAAATATCTGGAGAAAGGTTTTGAAGATGAGGTGAAAAAGGTAGGTGGAGGGGCTGGGGACGTGGTCGGTGGTAGAGCAGTTGCTCAGCCCCAAAGGCCCAGGGCTCAGTGCCTGGCACCAAAGGGGAAGAAGAATAGAGCCAGAAAGGGCCTCTGGTGTCCCTCTGGGGTGTCCCTCTGGGTACATAGGCCGACTGCCGTTGAAATGCAGTTTTGGGATATGTAACCTCGATTAAAGTTTTCTAACTTGAGCCTGGTGCTCGCTTGCCTAGATGCCCAGAACATAGGCTGAAGCAGGAGGATGGCAGTGAGCTCTATGTCCAGAGGGCTAAGAATGCAGCTCAGTGGTAGGGCCTTCGCCCCGCATGCATGAGCTCCCGGTTCCAGCCCAAGGACCACTGGAAGGAAAAAACTTCAGATGACTTGATATCTGGGTCTCATCGTTACGTGTTTCATAAGTAGATGGGCAGAGCATCTGGTGCTGATCCGGTTATACTAAGCCGTTTGGTGTGCGTAGTCTCTGAGGTTCCCCGTTGTAAACGTGAGGAACGGAGGTGCGCATTCAGTAGTTTGCTTGAAATCCGCCTGCTGACCTGCACTGAGGCAGCAGCCTTGGCGACTCAGGCCCAGACCCACACCCGTGGCCAGTACAGCGCGGTCGCTGCTTCTCTGAATTGATGCAGTTGCTCTGCTAACCTCGAGTTACCTGTTTTACAGCTGCTGCTGTTCTTAAAGGGTTTCTCAGAGTCGGAGAGGAACAAGCTGGCCATGCTAACGGGCGTGCTTCTGGCCAACGGGACGCTCAATGCGTCCATCCTCAACAGCCTGTACAACGAGAATCTGGTGAAAGAAGGTGACACCAGGGGAAGGGAGGGAAGGCACAGGGCTGTGAGTGAACTGACGGGGTGGGTTTCCGAGGCTCCTTCCAGCTTGGTAGATGCTTGTGCCTGCCTTTTCATGGTCCTTAGCACACAGCAGGGTGTGAGTGACTGAGGGAACCCTTAGTACAGGACGTCACAGAGCACCAGGAAACAAACCTGCTTTGATTTTCCCCAGAGCACTGAGTATTTAAGGGCCCCTCTAATCCATACAGCAGCCTGCCGAGTGTAGGCACTGTCACCGCCTAGCCCCCATCAGAAAACCTTGGCGGAGGCACTTGGCAGCCGAGGGCTGTGAGGGCTCAGCAGGGAACAGTGAGTGACCCTGGTGGGCCGGCTGTGGGGAGTGGCTGCCCAGCAGGCACTTGGCTGTTGTGGACCACAGATCATAAATAGACATAGCATCTGTCCTAGGCCCTCCTTGTGGCCAGTTTTGGAATTCGGAAGTCCCACTTCCTCTCCATCGATGACGTCAGCGCCCAGGTGTCGGGGTGGATCTTGGCCAGTTCCCTTTGTGATGTTCCACTTCCCACTACCACTGTTTCTACACCATTCCAGGAAGAGCACCCTACCCCTCCGCTGCACTGGCTGACAAGACGCCAGCTAGCTGGAAGTTGGGGCCTTTGGTTGATAAAGAGCACCCGGCAGTCCCAGATCCCTGCTGTGCACCTGCCTATTTTGTCTCTTGCTTTCCTTTCCCACCACGGGCCATAACCCAGGCAGGAGAGTGGCACTCGCTGCAGGCGTCCTTGGTAACTGGGCTACAGAGAGGTCTCTGATACTTGGATAGGAAGCTTTCCCTTGTTCCTTCAGGGGTTTCAGCAGCGTTTGCTGTGAAGCTTTTCAAATCCTGGATCAATGAGAAGGACATCAACGCGGTGGCTGCCAGTCTTCGGAAAGTCAGCATGGATAACAGGCTGATGGTTCGTGGCTCCTCCTCCTGTCCTGCCTTCACCTGCAGCGCGTGTAACAGGAGAAAATTGGTTTCAAATCCGAGTGTTTTTCCTAATAGGACTTGAGCCCCTAACAGATTTAATTCTCCTTTTAGGAACTTTTCCCTGCCAATAAGCAGAGCGTGGAACACTTCACAAAGTACTTCACCGAGGCAGGCCTGAAGGAGCTCTCTGAGTATGTCCGGAACCAGCAGACCATTGGTGCCCGGAAGGAGCTCCAGAAGGAGCTCCAGGAGCAGATGTCCCGCGGTGACCCGTTCAAGGACGTAAGGCTCTGGCCGTGGCTGTGTCCAGCATAGGGATTTCTGCACATTTGCACTTGAGAAACTTGGGAGGGCGTCACCAAGGATGTGGTTGCCGGCATCAGCCCTGAGCTGCCCACCCGCACCCGAGCTGTGCGGCTCGACTGCTGCCTGCACATGAAATGGGCGTGCTTGCCACTGGGGGGAGGGGGTTCCCTCTCAAACTGGCCGCCTGGCCCCCTGCCAGTTCAGAGGCTCTCCGTGGATTCGGGGTGGTAGTTACCCATAGCATGGAAAAATATCCTCTTGAAAGAACCTTAAGCTAGTGTGTAAAATAGTACACAGGAAAGCAGACTTGCGTTACTTATCTTGCAGATAATTTTGTATGTCAAGGAGGAGATGAAGAAGAACAACATCCCAGAACCTGTTGTCATCGGCATCGTCTGGGCGAGTGTGATGAGCACCGTGGAGTGGAACAAAAAGGAGGAGCTTGTTGCAGAGCAGGCCATCAAGCACTTGAAGGTGACGGCTGCACTGCACACCTGGCCCGGGCTTCCGGGCTGCCTGCGGGAGGTGGCCACTGGACCCGTGGGTGCTAAAGCTTTTTCATCCTGCCTTGGGCTTTGTTTTGCACGTTAAAGAAACAGAAACTTGTTTTAAAGTGGTGTAAGCCTGGCTGTGTGGTTGGCACACACCTGTTTGTCCCCTCTACTCTGGGAAGCTGAGGCAGGACAGTCAGAATTTTAAGCCCCGCCAGAGCAGCTTAGCCGCTGAGTGAGATCCTGTCTCAAAATAAGGGGCTGAGGATGGAGCTAAGTGCAGGCCCTGTGTTCAGTCTCCAGTACCACACACACCCCAAAGAACGTTTGCTTCTGAGCGAACCTTAGGAAATAGGAGGGCTCTTCTGTTTCCTCTAAAATACTAACATTTAGCAGTTACCTGAAGTGCTTGTAGAAGCATTGCTTATAGGATGTAAATGCACAGGTTTTTCGGCATTCCTGTTTGTTTCCAGTAAGCGGATGAGTCCAGAGGGACTGTCAGAGTTGTGCTCTGTGCTGTGTGTGTGTTGGGACGAGTGGTCGTTTCGATGGGTGACATCTCTTCTTCTTCCCTCAAAAGCAATACAGCCCTCTACTTGCTGCCTTTACCACGCAAGGTCAGTCGGAGCTGACTCTCTTGCTGAAGATTCAGGAGTATTGCTATGACAACATTCACTTCATGAAAGCCTTCCAGAAAATAGTGGTGCTTTTTTATAAAGGTAATATAAAACTCCAGCATGATCATGCAGCCCTCCTGCATCCAGTTTTTGGCATGGGGAGAGGGCTGCTCCTCTTACCCCACCCAGTGTCGCTGTCACTTGTGCCCCACGTGTGACCAGTTGAGATGTTTCCATGGGTCCTGGCTTCAGTGACAGCTCCCTCTGTTGCCCTTGTTTTGGGTCCTGCATCCTAGCCTAGTCTCTACTGAGACAGGCCATCACAGGCATCACCTCACCGAAGCTGGGCTGCATTTTCTTTCTGAGATGAGGTTTCCCTGTGCAGTTCAGGCTGGCCTTGAACTCCCTTTGAAGCCCAGGCTAGCTCAAACTCGCAGCAGTTCTCCTGCCTCAGCCTACCGAATGCTGGGATTACAGGTGCATGTGACCATGCCCAACTAGGGCTACATTTCTTGAACTCCCATGTTAATCAGAGCAGCCTCATCCCAGTGCGTGTGGCAGGCGTTCACATGTCTTCTGCATTCCAGTTTCCAAAACAATTTGTTAATCTTGGGTTCTTCCAAGTCCCCCTTTTTACTGAACAGGGGGGTAAGGAACAGCTCCACTTCTGTGACTGAGAGTGCCTGGCCTCCAGCGTTGCTGTCTGGCTTTGTTGAAGATTCCTGCATGGGCAGCAAGGGGACACGTGTCTCTTATGTGAGGGTCCGGTTTTGCCGTCCCTCCTTCTCTGGAAATGGATTGTTGAGGAAACCAGTGTTTTGAACAAAGATTGATCTTGAAAACAGCAAAATAACAGCTCGTGATCTGCCCCCCTGATGAAGCTCTCTTGCTCTTCCCAGCCGAAGTCCTGAGCGAAGAGCCCATCTTGAAGTGGTATAAGGATGCGCACATGGCCAAGGGGAAAAGCGTCTTCCTGGAGCAGATGAAGAAGTTTGTGGAGTGGCTCAAGAACGCAGAGGAAGGTCAGCCCTCCAGCTCGGCTGCGGTGTCTAACGCAGCCTGCACAGCCCCACCCGCACCTCTCCCTGTAGCCAGCTGAGTTTACCTTCACTCTAGGTGGCCTCTGGGTGGTTTGGGGCAGTGGGAAAACAAGGTTCTAATAGTGCGTATGTGTTGGCTGCTTGGCCGTCTCCCCAGACGTCAGGAAGGAAGAAGACATTTTATTACTCTTGAGTTTATTCACTGAGAGCTTTTGAACCTCCCCTTGTCCAAGTAAGAGTGTAGAAACCCCCCCACCCGGTCCCCCAGTTGCCATGAGAGGCCGCAGCTTGGGCATGGGAGCCTGCCTGACCTGGTGTGTGGTTCTGACTGCGTTTTTCTCCTTTCAGAGTCCGAGTCTGACGCAGAAGACGGGGACTGAATTTTGAACCTGCGTCCTCAGTAAAGCAAGCAGGGTGTAGATAAATGTGTCTCATGTGTCCTGGTTCGTACATCTTCCTACCTCCCCGTATCGAGCATGATAGAAGGGCTTTCATGGCAAACTTTATTTTACCTGTTTCTATGGTTACTGGAAATGTTGAGTTTAGTTCCTAAAACCATGTTCTAAGTATTGCAGGAGCTATAGATTTGAATCCAACGTTGCATTAGTCTTTTCAGTTCCCTTCTACCTCCTGTATTTTCTACTGTAATAATGTAATTTAAGGCCTTCCACAATTAACAGTTCACATTATTCCCTGGGTTTTCTATATATAAACAGTTTTCAGGATATGATTTGGTTAAAAATAATTTGTTATAAAAATTTTGTTTGCAAATTAAACTGTAAAGGCATCCAAATTCTCAAAAGCCAATGATCTGTGTGATAACTTGGTTGCCCAGAGAGCCCTGCTCATCACAGAAATCCCAGTGGTCGAGCTCGTTCACACGGAGCCCGAGCGCCCAGGCCGCTGCTTGCGTGTAGCGCTTCCTGCCTTCTTACCCCATGTCCTCAGCTCAGTTGTTTGCTGTCTGGTTTCCGTCCTCAGTGAAGCCGCGGAGAACAGACCTGAGGAGTTCTGGAATCAGAGGTGGCGGGGAGTCCTTTTCCCGCCAAGAAACTTCGGCAGTCAGTTCACGGATGGGTTTTCTTCCCATGCATCCGTTGTCAGTGTCCCTTAGAAAAGTCTCGCTCGCACTGCGCTCACGTGATAGGAAAGCGCTTCCGAAGGTGTGCGTGAGAAAGGACTGGCCGGTACTGAACCCAGGAGAACTGTCGGCAGTGGTGAGACGGGCCTGCTCCTGGGACCCCGCGGCCTGGTGGTGCTGAGGAGGGCGAGAGGCGCGGTCCTTCTCTGTCCCTGCGCTGTGCCCGCCCTCGGCCGTGACGCCGCGTCCAGCTGGGACATCCCCCACCCGCCAGGTTTAATTGCCATGAGCCAAACGCTTGTAGACGGTTGGTCCTAGATTTTAATGTCTGCCTCTTCGTTTTCCTCTGTTGCTGCTGCTGCCCGTCTGTGTGTGGTCGTGGGGCTGTGGTAACAGTGACCATTGTGAAGGGGCCCCTTTTGAAGGTGCCATTCTCCTCACCAAGACAGTGTCCCCTTGACAGAGGGACGTGTAACATGATTGGAAAGGAAGGTATAAGGACCTTGAGAGCATCAGACTGGTCACATTGTGAACGGAGGAAGGTTAAGTGAGTAACTCGGATGAAGTTTTCACGCACCGGCAAAATGTATTCACTAGATTTCTACATAGTGCTCTGCTTTACTTTGTAATTTGTAGTCCTCAAAAGACTTTTTTTTAAATAAAATCCATCCTTACACTTAGGTTTCATAGATTTTCTTCTTGGTGAATGCATTTGAATGCTGAGCGGCGTCCTGTGTGTTGTGCTGGGCTGTGAGAGTCAGGTTCTCGCCACGTGACTCGAGCCCTGTCCAGGGCCACAGCGTGGCTGAGTACGCAGGGGGCCGCCGCGCTGGCCTCCCGCAGCGCAGTGGGTGCTGTGCAGAACATGGTCTTCTGCTTTGCGTTCTCATACTCAGCTGCTGGTGCCAACCAGTGCCTCAGATAACTGATTCTCAGTACAGTTGTTAAAATAGTACTTTGTGATTGGATAAGCCGTCCTTGATTTTGCTAACCTGGTGTTTCTGAGGTTACTAAAATTGTGTATTTAGAGCTGATTAAAAGTTTCTTGTGTTGCTGGGTGTGGTGGCGCACGCCTGTAATCCCAGCACTCAGGAGGCTGAGGCAGGAAGATCATTGCAAGTTTGAGACCAGCCTGGCCTACAAAGTGAGCTCAAGACCAGCTTGAACTGCATAGACAGACCCTGTCTCAAAAAGATTGAAAAAAAAAATTTATTGTGTTTCTTTGTGGGATTTGTTTTGTTTTGTTTTTGGAACCCAGTAATCCTCCTACCCCAGCCTCTGGGATTATAGGTGTGTGCCTCTACTTCTAAATCTTACTCTGGGAATATTGCTCTGCAGATACTGATTGTTACAGAAAGTCCAGATAGCAGAGATGTCCCATTACCCTAGAGCAGTATGCCCTTTGCCCTCTGCATGCTCTTTCCTTTTCTCAGTCTCCCTGACACGCTCCCAGTGAATTGTGTGACAGCCACACTGCGGGTGAGGAGCCGAGACGAAGACCTGAATGTGCCACAGAAATGAGGGAGCCTGTGACCATCGTGTTTCTGTGCTGACCGGCAGCACGAGGCTGTGGTTTTCCTGTCAGGCTCCCCAGAAACCCAGGAAGCTCCCTTTGTAGGTGCCCCTGTGCTCACAGCAAGGTGCAGCCCAGCTGCTTCGCAGGCCTTGGAGCCTGCAGGGCGTCATGGCCATTGGGTTTGGCCTGGGCTCCCATCCAGTAAGCCATGCACCCCAGAGTGAGGGGAGGGCGGGGCTGGCGCTGCTGAGCACCTCTGGTCCACTGTGGAGCCTTTCCTGTGTGCTCGAGTCGCCTGTTTGCTGTAGGTTCAGCAGCGTCTGGGATTGAAGCTGGGGCTTCCTGCCGAGTTACAACCCCAGCCCTTTTGTCTTACTCTGAAACGGGCTCACTTAAGTTGCCAAGTTACTAGGCTGGGCTTGCAATTGGAATCCTCCTGCCTCAGCTTCCCAGACCACTAGGGTTACATGCATGCACCACCACACCTGTTTTGAATGCCATGGCTTTTTTCATGTGAGGGCACTGAATCCTCAATCCATACGAAGGGTCTATTCACTGGGCTGCCAGGGCTTGCAGGCCTTAAATACTGGAAATAAAAAGGCGTAATAGGCGGCACAAGTGAAGCCGGGAAGGTCTTTGAGTTGGAGAAGCAGTCTGCAGTGGGGACTGTGCGGATGTAAGCGCAGGCCTGCATGTTTGGAATGGAGTAAGAGGCTTTCCTCGTCCCCTCCATCAGTGCCGGGGTAAAACTGGCTTCGTCTGCTCTTGCAGTCAAATGAAGATTTTGCCACTTGTGGTCCCAGCACTGGAAGGCTGAGGCTGGAGGGTCGCCATGAGTTGAAGGCCAGACGGGGCTATGTAGCAAGACCCTGTCTCAAAAAACACAAGAAAAAGATTGCATAGGATTTTATGAGACTCCCTGTTCGTGTGGAGTAGGGCAGTGCCTGCTGAGCGGTGATCTGTCGGGCTTGATGCTCCACACAGGACAAGGGGCTGTGTCCCCGGGCGTCTCCAGCGCAGTTGCACTGGAGCTTGAGCTTTCAGAGAGGCCAGCGTCTCAAAGTAGAGAGAGAGACCGTCTGCTCTCCAGGGAGCTCCAAGGCCTACTTTGTCAGGGGAAGTCCCGTTCGCCCCAGATGCACCATCTGCAGCGGCAGTGTCCAGGCACCCGCCCAGCAGCTAGAGCACTCTCTGAATGCTGTGGATTAACAGTCTAACACTTGTCAGCCTGCCGGGTGTGGTGACACGACTAATCCAGCACTTGGGAGGCTGAGGCAGGAGAATACCAAGTTCAAACCTAGCCTAGGCAATTTAAGGAAACTGTCTCTGAAAGTTGGGAGGCTGGAGGGTGGCTCAGGTCAGCAGTAGAGTGCTTGTCTTGTACTAGTATGCACAGGGCCCTAGGTTAAGAAGCATTACATAGACAAGCAGGAGACAGCAGGCCACGGTGACAGCTGTTCCAGAGCTTGAGAGGATCAGTCAGCACAGGTTCAGAGCCAAGCTGGAGGCCAGGCAGTGGTGCACACTAGTCCTAGACTTGGGGAGGCTGATGCAGGAGAATTGTAAGCGCCAACCTGGGCAACTTTTTCAGAGACCCTATCTCAAAAAACAAAGGGCTGGGGTGTAGCTCAGTGTGAAGACCCTGAATTCAATCTCCAGGACTTCAGGAAAGCAAAAGTCAAAAGGCCCTCTGATCTCAAAAAGACAGGCACAGAGAAACAGAGCTGGGACCTGTTGGGGCGGGCGGGGGGTTTCCTGGCCTCAGGGGCCCAGCCCTGCTGCCCGCCCCCGACCATAGCCAGTGATAGGCTGTCACCTGCCCTGATTGGCTGCACCTCCTGGAATGAGGACTTTGCCTTCCAGCGGCCACAGCAGAGGCGGCTGAGGTCTCCTCGAGCAGCTGCCTCACATGGATAAACCTCGAAGCCTCAGGTACAAACTCCACCGGAAGCAGACACCAGCACCGAAACTACACAGGTCTTGCAGTTACCCAGTGGGGATTCTCAAGCAGCCATAGAAATGCTATAACGGGCAGTGATGGACACAGTTGATAGTGAGGAAGCAGTCTCAGGAAATGATATAGCTGGGGGTGGCACAGGCCTACCATCCCAGTACTCAGGAGGCTGAGGCAGGGGAATTGCTGAGTCTAAGGCCACCCTGGACTACCCAGAGAGATCCTATCTCAAAAGAAGAAAAAGACGGCTAAAAAGGAACCACATGGAAAGGATAGAACCAAAAAGTACCATGAGGAGAAGAAAATGGACGGGCTAAAGAGCAGAAGGGAGTGAGCCCCGGGAAAACACACTTCAGTGCTGGGGGGAGCTGGGGCTCTGTGTGCTGGCCAGAAGAAACTGGCCCCCAAGTCAGGCAGCAGAGGGCCCCGGGGCCTTCGCACCACCTCCACCCCTCCCCGTGGCTTTTACTTTCTGAGGCAGGGGCTTGCTAGTCTCAGGCCAGGCTGGAAAAGACCAGGGAACTTTCACAGATGCACTAGCCCTGCACATCACTGAGTCCCAGGAGCAACGGAGAAAGCAAGGCTGAAAAAGCGTTTGAAGAAGCTGTGGCTGAAAAGTCCCAAACCCGACAACAGATTTGAAACCGTGCATGGTGGGTACACCTGTAATCCCAGCACTTGGGAGGCTGAGGCAAGAGGATTGTTGGGAGTTCGAGACCAGCCTGGGCAACAAAGTGAGCTCAAGGCCAGCCTGAACTGCATAGTGAGACCCTGTCTCAAAAAAGACAAAAAATAAATAAAGAAATAAAACCAGATTTGAGCTGAGTGCATCACCAAAAGGACAAAGTCCAGGAAACACCAAGACACACCAAGTCAAAAGTCCGGCCTGTCTATGAGGGAAGCTTAATGGGATTTAGCGTTTGGTGACACTGAAATTGCCCTTTCACCTGCCCCGGCCATGAGGCGTCTGCTGACCTGCATCCAAAATCCATCCAACTTCCAGCCCTCTGCAGGCTACACTGCCCAGCGGCCAAGCGCTGGCCCTCCAGCCCCTGCAGCCTGGCCTGCGTGGTGGGGCTCCATGGGGCCTCCCCGACCCCTTCCTTTCTGCATTAGGCACCAAGTGTTGAGCTCGGCCTCTGCCGGCCCTGAGCCCACCCGGCCACTCCTCAGAGGCTGGCGCCTCAGTGCTCCGTCCCAGGGCCGCAGGGCCATGCACACAGTGCCAGGCGATGGCTACAGCGTGGGGGGACAGCACACTCTGTGGAATGGGGCGAGGAAGAGAGGGACCCGGCACCCGGAGGACGCTGTTTAGTCACCTGACAAGGACAGAGCCCCCAAGGCCGCAGCACTGTTGGAAAAGTAGCTGGCCATGTGGTGGGAGTCACGGAGCCGACATTAGGACCGCAAGACCTTCGAGACACATCCTGAGGCTGCTGGAGGACGCGGAGGTCAACAATTTGTTTGGAGAAAGACAGTTACCCTGTGTTACGGTTTATGTCTGGGTGTCCCCCCAAAGCCTCATGCGGCCATGGGGCAGGCTTTTAAAGTTTGATTGATTAGGGGTGTGAGAGCTGCACCCGCCCTGGGGTGGATAGTTTGCATATGTAAGGGAGAGGAAAAGGGTGCTTGAGGCGATTCCTCCGCCATTCCGCCCTGGTGTGTGCTTGTTGCTTTTGCTGTGTTCTGTGCCCTGAGCTGTAGCCCTCTGCCATGTGCCACTCTGCCTTGTAATCAGCCAAGTATGGACTGAAACCTCCACAAACTGTAAGTGAAATAAACCTTTCCTTCCTTCATTTTGGGGGTCAGATATTTTGCCCCAGCAACGAGAGAAAAGTAACCAAGACACCCCGGCTGGGCCAGAACTCTTTTTGGCCTCTGCCTCCCAGAGTGCGGGCATCACAGGCCTCACCCCGCTGGGCCCTGACTCCGCGCCTTTTGCTGCATGCTGTGGGCCCAGCCTGGAGACCAGAGCCGCCGGCACGCCCTGGCACGGGCCCTTCCCACGCTGTCTGCTGAGGCTGTTACTCCGTCTGTTTTACTTCGCGGCAAACGGGGAACCGACGCGCTTTTTTCCTGCTGCGCTCAGACAGGGTCTCCCTGTGCTGCCAGGCTGGCGCGGAGCTCAGGCCAGCCTCCTGCCTCAGCCTCCCACGTAGCTGGGGCTCAGGTGTGCAGCACGCACCGCCGCCCAAGCGCTTTCGACGTGT